AAAAAAAAGAAAACTACCGGTACACGAAGTCAGCATTAATCAAAAATAAACTGTGCATAATGCATCCAACCACTGGCTGTGTGAGGTCCAAACTACTAATATGAGAGCTCAGCTCACAGACAGTTTATAATGTCATTAAAGTGCATCTATGATCAAAATGTAAAATCATATGTTCATTTTCACACTGAATGTCAATTAAATATAGCCTATTACTACTAATTTGAATGATCCTGAAATTTGTAAACTCTTGTGAAGCTACCCACACGTGTACTTATTCACTATACACTGTGAGCAGGCCCTGCTGTGTCACATTTCACAGAGCCTGCCTTCTGAACTACAAAATTCTTGAGAGAAGAAATTTCATGGGGTGGAGTCAGTACAGCAATTACTTCTTGCTGGCAGCAAGGTACCATGGGATATGTAGTCCTTAGAAATCAAAAGTAAACACCAGAGGAGAAGCTTCAAAGCAAGCAGGGAACGCAGGAAGTTGTAGAAAGAGCTGGGCAGCAGACAGAAGAATTCAAACATTTTTTTTTTTTTTTTAAATAATAAATGGGTTGTTAAAAAATAACCACTTACTAGGCAACGTACCCGTATGCTGCCTGACTTTGAGTGGTTATATCGGATTGATGCATGACATCATCCCAGTATCTTTGTTTTTTTTTTTCTCTTTTAGAGCCGGTGGAGTGCTTTCTTGTAAAAGCAATCCTAGTGGTTAAATAGCCACGGAGTTGCTTTTACAAGCATCAGTTGTGGGTCCCCTTCCTGCCACCTACTAGGACTCTGCGGTCCCCACCAGGGAACTTGAGACTGCAACCCATGGCAGCCAGCAATTTCACTGGCAGACCACAGAGCACAGAGCAGTATATATCATTGTATTTATTGATCCATTGGCACATACATTCCATTTGTAAATACCATCCACACTATATTGCCAAAAGTATTGGGACACCCCTCCAAATCATTGGATTCAGGTGTTCCAATCACCTCCATGGCCACGTGTATAAAATCAAGCACCTAGGCATGCAGTCTGCTTCTACAAACATTTGTGAAAGAATAGGTCACTCTCAGGAGCTCACTGAATTCAAGTGTGGTATCGTGATAGGTTGCCACCTGTGCAATAAGTCCATCTGTGAAATTTACTTGCTACTAAATATTCCACGGCCAACTTTTAGTAGCATTATAACAAAGTAGAAGCAACTAGGAACAATACCAACCCAACCACGAAGTGGTAGGCCACGTAAAATGTGCACAGTGCGCATAAGTTTCCAACTGTCTGCAGAGCCAATAGATAAAGACCTCCAAACTTCATGTGGACTTCAGATTAGCACAACAGTGCGTAGAGAGCTTCATGGAATTGGTTTCTGTTACCGAACAGCTACATCCAAGCTTTACATTACCAAGTGCAATGCAAAGTGTTGGAAGCATAGGTGTAAAGCAAGCTGCCACTGGACTCTAGAGCAGTAGAGACGTGTTCTATGGAGTGATGAATCACGCCTCTGTCTGGCAATCCAACAGACATGTCTGGGTTCGGCGGCTCCTAGGAGAACAGTACTTACCTGACTGCATTGTGCCAAATGTAAAGTTTAGTGCAGGTGGGATTATGTTGTGGGGTTGGGCTTGAAACATTACTTCTCGTGAAGGAAACGCTTAAGGCATCAGCACTCCAAGACATTTTGGACAATTTCATGCTCCCAAGTTTGTGAAAACGGTTTGGGGATGGACCCTTACTGTTCCAACATGACTGCGCACCAGTGCACAAAGCAAGGTCCATAAAGACATGGATGAGTGAGTTTGGGGTGGAGGAACTTGACTGGCCTGCACAGAGTCCTAACCTCAACCCGATAGAACACCTTTGGGATGAATTGGAGCAGAGACTGCGAACCAGGCCTTCTTATCGGACATCAGTGCCTGACCTCACAAATGCACATCTGGAAGAATGGTCAAACATTCCCATAGACACATTCCAAAACCTTGTGGACAGCCTTCCCAGAAGAGCTGAAGCTGTTATAGCTGCATAGGGTGGGCCAATTCAACATTAAAGCCTACGGACTAAGACTGGGATGCCATTAACCTCCGTGGCGGTATGATTATTTCAGATTTTTGTGTGCTGAAAGCGGTACCATTATTTTGCATGGAAATTTGGCGTTTTATATTGTAGGCCTGTAATTCTTAGGAATAACTCACTGAAATCTGTCCGAACAAGAGTCTAGTAAACATCCCGGGTAGGAAAAAAACTTGAAACACAAAATCATAAATTATAATTTAATAATCATAAAAAATAATATAATAAATTTTAATTCAATAATATAATCAAACAAAAAACACTGAAATTTGAAATATAGCGCCAAGTTCGCACATCACTGAGCAAAGTCGCAAAATCGTTTTCAGTGTCTGGTGACATATTTCCCCCACGAATCATTATCACTCAATTCTGCAAGTGGTTCTAATTTACTATCGCTGTTCTCTAGCCAGTCTAAAAACGCTTTTGACCTAAAAGGGGCGCTTTTTGGACATCATGGACATTTCTCAGTTTCCAGGTAGAAAGAACAGTCAAAATGTAGGCAGGGCACAGGACAAAGCATTAGGGACAAAATGTATGTGAAATGGTTTGGTACAGGAATGTTTTACTATGTGATTTTAGTGATTTTTATGAATGTCACTTTTTGTCATTTTCAAATTTCCCGCCGTTCCGTCCCCCGTATGTCCCGACGCTCGCAGAGGACAGAACCCAGATGACACATGCCGGCATCCCTCGGATTACATTGCCAGGGACACTGCAGGAGGGACATCGCGGGAGTGCAGGACAAGGTAAGTGACCGAGGGGTCGCGGAGCAGCGCCGCATGGTAAACCCAAGTGTAGCTCGGGGTTACCGCTTGTGGTACTGAAACTTTACCCCGAGCTACACACGGGAATACCGCCAGGGAGGTTAAAGTTCATGTGCATGTAAAGGCAGGCATCCCAATACTTTTGGCAATATAGTGTACCTACTGTCTAATCATAAGCATTATTCTGGAAGGAAGAAGCACTGCTCTCCTTAGAATATAAATAGATGGACAGAGTAGTGGATGAGGTTACAGATATACGGGGGTATATTTCATCTGAACTGTGTATCATACATTCGGAGTATGGTCATTTTCTTTTTAGGAGACTGTAATCAATTTACTTTGATATTTTTATTGTTCAAGTGATACCACTCCCAGAGTGGGGCTTTAAGTAAAAGTAAGTTCCCCTAAAATACATGTTTAATGTGTAACCTAAGACCAAAGCACCACAAGGAAACCTAATCTAAACAGAATATACAAACTACAGATAAAGAGCCAGCAGAAATTGAACTTCTACAATGCAAAGCCGCAACGCTATATTGCTTTCAACAGAGAAGTGGAGTTAAGAAATTATATTAAACACGGTTTGTCAATCAGCCGCTCATGTCAATCATTTGTTAGCACTAACACCAGCCTCGTACTCATTTCATTAGTCTTTACCCAATACTAGATTTCAAATACATCATATCATCCACATCAGCACATTTATATGGTTGCAGAGCAGCTGTTTTTATTGCCTCCTGCATGATCTTCAAAATTCAACAGGACTGAAAACCTCCCTGGCGGTCTTCCAGAGTGTAGCTCGGGGGTAACTTTCAGTACCAAAAAGCAGTAACCCCGAGCTACACTTGGGATTACCCTGCAGCGTTGCTCAGGGATTCCCTCAATCACTTACCTTGTCCTTCGCTCCCGTGATGTCCCCCCCTGCAGCGCCCCCAGCCATCTCCTCCGGCCGATGCCGGCATCAGTCTTCCGTTACCTGGAAGCGTCGGGACGTACAGGGGACGGAACCGGCAGGAAATTCAAAAATTTTAAAAGTGACATTCACTCAATACACTAAAATCACATAGTAAAACATTACTGTATCAAACCATTTCACATACATTTTGTCCCTAGTGCTTTGTCCTGTGCCCTGCCTGCATTTTTTACTGTTCTTTCTGCCTGAAAACTGAGAAAAGTTAATGGCGTCCAAAAAGCATCCCTTTAGGTCAAAAGTGATTTTAAACCAACTAGAGAACAGTGATAGTAAATTAAAGTCACTTGCAGAATTGAGTGATGATTCGTGGGGAAATTCGTCATCAGACACTGAAACCGATTTTGCGACTAAACTCAGTTATGTGCGAACTTGGCGCTCGATTTCAAATTTCAGTTTTTTGGTTTGATTACATTATTGAATTAAATTTATTATATTATTTTTTATGATTATATTATAATTTATGATTTCGCGTTTCAAATTTTATCATACCCGGGATGTTTACTAGACTTGTTTGGACAGATTTCAGTGAGTTATTCCTAAGAATTACAGGCCTACAATAAAAAAACAACGTATTTCCATGCAAAAAAAATGTACCGCTTTGAGCACAGAAATACTGACATAATCAGACCGTTAGGGAGGTTAAGCAGCCCATATATGAAGCAAAATTCTTTCCTGCAAGCATGGCCAATGTTGACAAGGGAATCCTTCCCACCAAACCATTGTATTCTCCAGGCAGTGGAGCAGGTGAAGCCTGCCCCCACCGGGAGAAGACAATGATTATTGCTAGCGGCTATAATAGCAATTAGAGATAATCGCTTGTAAAATCTGGCAGGCTGGTTGTACCCAAGTTGATCGATCAACTTGGTACATTCAGCCTACTCATACATGGTTCAAATTGCAGCTGGTTACTGCTAAACTGGCTGTGATTTAAACCGTCTGTGGCCGGCCTTATTCATTTGTGAGTATAGAAAAATCTATTCAAGATCAGGTAGTCAGAATTCCAGCATTAACCATTTCTTGTTTGCCACTTTAGTTCAACCGCCTCCCACCCGCCATATAAGGTAATGACGGGCGCAAGGTGGGTCTCTCGTTCTGGGAGGACGTCACCATAAGCCCCGGGGGCGCGCAGCGCGTCAATCAGTGGTGCGCTGTGTCCATGGGACACAGCGGATCACCGATCAACGAAAAGAGTCAATGCCGTCGACTGTCATGTGATCGGCTGTGTCCAATCACAGCTGATCGCATGTAAATAAGGAAATGCCGGTTATCGGCATTCCTCTCCTCACGAGCTTTCACACTGACAGCTCATGAGGAGAGGAGAGCCAGTAATCGGCATTACTCAAAGGGAACATGTACACAGATCATCAGGGCACTGATGATCAGTGTGCCCTGATGATCAGTGTAGCTCCATCAGCGCCACCTGTCAGTGCCCATCAATGCCACATCAGTGCCTACCAGTGCACATTAGTGCCACATATCAGTGCCCATCTGAGCTGCCTTTCAGTGACACCTATCAGTGCCAGTCAGTGCCTCCTTTCAGTGCCGCCTTTCAGTGCCCAGTGATGCCTGTCAATGCCCATCAGTGCCACCTACCAGTGCCTCCTCATCAGTGCCGCCTATCAGTGCCCATTACTGCAGCCTCATTAGTGCACATCAGTGAAGGAGAAAAATCACTTATTTACAAAATTTTATAACAGAAACTAAGAAAAAACTTTTTTTTTCAAAATTTTCAGTTGTATTTGGTTTGTTTAGCAAAAAATAAAAAAACCCAGTGGTGATTAAATACCACCAAAAGAAAGCTCTATCTGTCTCAAAAAAAAATGATACAAATTTCACATGGGTACAGTGTTGCATGAACGCACAATTGTCATTGAAAGTGCAATAGCACAGAAAGCTGAAAATTGGCCTGGGCAGGAAGGGGGTATAAGTGCCCGGTAGGCAAGTGGTTAAACAACAGCCCCTCAGGTCCAAATGTAAAGTTCCTCATTCCCCTATGTGCGCATAAACAATAGAAAGCAACAAAAAGACCTGTCAGAACTATTCACAAAGACAACAGTAAACAGGACTGGAAAATAATACTAACACTGCTGCAAAGCATACAGATATTTATCTGTTGAGGTTTTGTTAAAACTTTAACCTGTAGCTACGTATAGGCTACTCATTGTGTTTATGTGTGTTCACATGAAAGCTGGAGTGTCACAGACTTTCCAGAGTAGGTGTGATGGTATATAAAAGTGAACTGCTCACTGCTAACACAACAAAGAGAAGCCACATCCTTTAGAGAATACCTACAAAGCAAAATTATATAATGTACGTAAAAGTGCACATATGGGGAGACAAGAAAGATACCTTGAAAAAAGCAATTGCCATAAATAAATATTGTCAGAGGACCAGATCTACTGACAGGTAACAATCTGGAGCTTTCTTTCATGGTTTCATTTGTAAATTGTAGGGAGAAGAGAACTGCCTTCAGTTCAAGATTACTTACTCATAGGCTTCTACAATGACATCAGAAGGTAGCCTCAGGTATCTTTTCCCCTGGAGAAAAACAAGCTGGGTGCACTATCACGCAAATCTTGACATCAACTTTACTTCAATGAGCCAACATTACAATGATGGTCTACAAGGGAGACTGGGGGACTGGGCCTCCAGAGGTGCTAAGGAACAAAGCTAAGCTACCTGTAGGTCCCCAAAGATGCTGCTACTAAATGGAAGTAGAAGGCTTAATGTGGAGGGAAGGATTTCCAAGCTGAAGCCAAGATTTGCATAATACAGCACCCAAGGTACTGGGGCTCATGGAGTGCTCACGAACAAAGCTAAACTATGTGTAGTTTCCAAAAGTGCTGCTGCTTAATGGAAGTGGCAGTTTACCAAGAGTACAGGTACAATTTAAATTCTACACTTGCATCAGCTGGGAGTAGAAAACTGCCTATCAGGGGCGGACTGACCATTTGGAAACTCAGACATTGCCCGAGGGCCCGGGGTCAGTAGGGGGCCCCGTGAGATGCCCCTAGTACCTTCTTCATAGGCGTTTTTGAGTTTGGGCAAGGACACAGTGGCCCCATGATCCCCTATTGCCCGGGGGCCCCATGAGTTGTCAGTCCGCCCCTGCTGCCTATACAGAAGTTCTGTGGAATATCATTAGGGTCTCATTGCATACTGGGTGTTTAGCCCCTGATCATGAAATTCTGATGTTTCTGTGTGAACAGAAGACAGGTGCATCATCCAACCCCAATGCCAGCAGCCTGCAAAACTCTGAGAGGCTGAAAGCTACTGGAGCTAGACAGTACACTAAGAAGTACTAACATATCAGGCAGTATGCGCCCAGGGACAAATGCCCAGAATGCAAATAAGTGTGCATTCCGACCATTAGTCCTTGGCAAATACTGCCCAAAGGTTAGTACTACTCAGTACCCCTAACCCACAGCAACTTTCAGCCTCTCACAATTTTAGAGGCTACCAGTGGTGGGGCTAGACAAGGCGCCTATGCCATCTGCTCGTCCAAAAATACCAGCATCTCATGCACAAGGGATAAAACAAAGTTTGCATGAGGCTGAAAAGGTTTAGGATTCTATGCAAACTTAATAATCAATACAGTTACCACAAAGTGCACTCAAAGCAGCAACAGAAAATAAGCAATGTATCAAATAAATACAATTGTAGGTGAAAAACTGTAAATTACTCAATGCCTTTTATTGTGTAATTCATTAGCAAACAAGAATCACATTTATTTAAAAAATGCATTAATTCATTAAAATAGATTTACTTAAAGAGTGTAATATCAGTTTTGCTGTACACAGAATTTTAAAAACTGTATACAAAGGGTAGCTATACTGTAGAATATGTAGGCTGTGGCTCATGGACCAACCCTTCCAAAAATTCAAAAGTACAGCAACCTTTAAGACAGTTCACATTCAACATACCATTATATACATCCGCACTATAAATTAACTTTACAAAGCTGCATGATTATATTCCTGATAGGTCATAATATTCAGCAACAAAATACATTTGTAATAGTTTTTTTTTTTTTTTTTTTTTTACAAAGCAGTAATTAAGCTTCAGTCAATTGGCTGTGCCTAAGCTTAAAAGTAGAATGTGGGAGGAGGTCACTAGTTTGCTACAGGAAACTGGAAAGCAATCCTCAGTCTACCCTCATCCAGTACCCACTTGCCTGGCTGATCTGTGAGAGATGTATATACAGTGTCAAGAATATACTGGCTACTAAACAGGCACAGGGAATTACACGATTGTGTCACCCATGGGGCAGGCTGATGCCTGAACAAAGATGGCACCATCCTTCTGAGTGGAAAAAGAAAAAAAAAAAAATCAGATGAAAAGAATGGTCTTCACCATGTCTTCCTTATTCCATGTTCACTTTAAAGTGGTATCAAATCCAAAACCAGTGTGCATCTAACACTCCCCTCCCCCCCAGACTGACAATGGTGCTGTCCAAAAGTGCCCCAAAACCCCTAAAAAAAAGAAAGAAAAACGAATGCAGCCTAAACTTTTTGGTTTGGGGTTTAATACCACTTTAAATTACCCGCTTCCCGCCTGCCCTATAGCAGAAGTACTTCTACAGGTCGGCAGGGAAGCGCAAAATCATATATGTGCGTGTGTGTGATTTTGTTTTTCCGGGAAGGAGGCGCACACGCTCCCTACCCATGCCGCTATTGGCTCCTCGGCATGTCAATCACCGTGTTCTGCCTGCCGAATCTCTGCCAGGACTGATCGTCGGCGGACCTGATGGGAGAGGTCTGTAAGCAACACAGTACTCTACCCTATCAGCACACACAGGCTGCTTTGTATTGCTCTGCACAGCAGAGCAATGCAAAGCAGCTTGTCTCCCTAGTAAATCACACACAACAAACTATGTAAAACACAGCACACTGTTAACCCTTTGATCGCCCCAGATATTAACCCCTTCCTGCCCAGTGTCATTAGTACAGTGTCAGTGCTCTTTATATTAGCACTGATCACTGTATTAGTGTCACTGGGGATTTCAGTAGCAGTTAGTTGCCTCCAGTATTAGAATGCCCACCGCAGTCCCACTGTAAGTCGCTGATCACCGCCATTACTAGTAAAAAAACAAAAAAATTCCAATATATATACCGCCATTTGTACATGATATAACTTTCAAGTAAACCAATGAATTTACATGTATTGGGATTCTTTTTAGCAATGACATGTAGCAGAATACATTTTGCCCTAAATTTATGAAGAAATTGTATTTTTAAATTTTGTTTACTGGATAGGTTTTATAAACACACGGGTGATCAACTACCATTGAAAGAAAGCTCTATTTTTTTTTTGGGGGGGGGGGGGGGGGGGCAGACAAATTTCATTTATTTAAAAAGTTGCATGCAATTGTCAGTTAAAGTAACGCAGTGCCGTATCGCAAAAAATTACCTGGTCAGGAAGGGGGGGAAATCCTCTGGAAGGCAGGTGGTTGATGGATATGCCATTTCATTGTTAGCAGCCAGGTCCCCCTATTTACTGCATATTCCTAACATTTGTTACCCTTACATTGAATTGTCCATCCCCCCTGGTTTTGAGTTTAATACCGCTTTAAGGGACTTTTGGAAATTATCAAAACAGAACACAATCTCTAAAAAAAAAAAAAAAAAAAAAAAAAAAAAACTGCTTACGCTCATCAGTTCAACCAGCTGTTCCTGAAATCTTCACTTTATTGCAGATCAAAGCCATTGGCTTTTCAACATCCAACACACTTCCAAGTGTGTTGGAGGCCTGGTCCCCCACTGTGTGCTGTGGTTTCACCTGCAAGTTGCTTCATCCCTACTGTGCCCCATGGTGGCATAGCAGCCAGCAGTAAAAACCACAGTGCTGCGCGGACCAAGCACCTGCCACATCTAAAGTGTGTTGAATGTTGAACATTCTGAAACAGAGCAAAGACTTGTTCACCCATCTGGACAAGTATATGCAGTCTTCTATTGCATGTTGTGCTTTTTTTTTTTTTTTTTTTTTTTTTTTTTTTTTTAAGTAAACCAGCAACAAAAGTAAAGAAGTGTCAATTTTGGGTTAAGAGTTTTTGGAAGGATTTACCTCAGAAGGTATAGCTGTTGTAATTACTTATCCAAGATAACTAATCCTAATACCTGTCCAGAATCAAATACAATCAATGTAACATGGGTAGTTGTGGTTATCTGAAGACCACAATTGAGAAACACGATAAGCATTCAACCAAATTTAGCCTTTTAACCCAGACATAGATGGTTAGAATCTCTGCCAGTTCACCAGGGACCGACAGATTCAAACCATCTATGGGCAGGCTAATTGTACCAAATGCAATTGTTGTACGACTTGGGCACAACCAGTCAGATTTTTCATGTGATTACAGCCAAAGGCTATAGCCGCTGGCAATAATCATGGTGTTCTGGCAGAAACAGCTGCTCCCCTAAGTTACAGGAAAGAAAAATTTCATCATCTCTTTAGATGCTGCAAGATATCTGTTGCCAGCATCAGGTAACTTTCCCATTTCTTTTTTATTATTTTTAAATAAATTAGCAAGGTCATTGAAATAATCTTGTACACATCTAAATTACATTTTCACGATTTTAGTCTCACACTACCCCCAATATTATATCGCACCTGACACTTGGTTCACACCTGTGCAG